CTCCTCCTCCCCCCTTCCCCCCCCCCGGGCGTGCCTTGTCAAGGGAGGCGCCTCCGGGCCGGCGGTCTTTCCTGCGGGCAGCCCCCGCTGCGCCCTTGACATGACGGCGGCGATCTGCCTCCGCTCCTCCGGGCTCAGGCGGCTCAGGTCCTCCGCCAGGCCCGCCGGGTCTCCCGCAGCAGCCCCGGCCACACCTTCGGGCAGTCCGGCCAGGCTCTCGCCGCCCTCCAGGCTGGCTTCGTTGCCCATGGTGGGAGAGCGGGGCCGCCGCGGGCGGGCAGGGGCGGCGGGGCCCTTTCCGGCCGGGCGCTCAGTCCTCAGCGAGGGGGGCTCTCCATGGCCGGCCGGCCGGGCGCCTCCCGTGGCTGCGGCTGCGGCGCTGGCGGAGAAAGAGGGCGAGGAGGAGGAGGAGGAGGAGGAGAAACGTCCCAGAGTTCCCCCGCTGCGGCCGCAGAGCGCATGCGCTTGCACCAGAAGTGGGGGGGGGGGCTGCTCCGCTGTTCCCGCCTTTATGTCGGCCCGCGCAGCCCCGCGCGGCGCCTCCTGCCGGCCCCGCCTGGGGAGAGGGAGCCGCGCGACCCCCTCGCCCCGCTTTCCGGCCCGGGGGCCTCGTCCGAGAGACGGGCTGGAGGCGGCGTCTGCGGGGGGGCGGTCAGGTTCGAGGGACGCCCGTGGCTCGTGTGGGCCGTCCGTGGCCTCGTGGCGAGAGAGGAAAGGCGGCTCGTTCAGGGGACGGGCGAGGAAGGGTCTTCCGCTGGCACCGGCCCGGGGGGCGTCCAGAGGAAAGTTAGAAGGTGGAGCGATATTGCTTATGATTCAAGACGAATAAATGCTAAAAGGCCCGCAAATGATTTTAAAGATACATAGAAGACACACACTAGCTAATGACAACTTCATGAAATGCGTGTAATGGAAGCTGAAAATAAATGGAAAAACGGAACCAAGGGGTTTTAGAGCCGGAAACTGAAGCGCCCCTGCCCCCCCCCGCTCGGTGCCCCTGGTTGCCCTGTTGCCCACCCAGAGCTCCACTAGACTCTGTCTTCCTGTGGCTCAAACAGTTTTTCTGGCTTCTGCACTCTGGAACGGGTGAGAACTTTCCAGGGTCTACCTTGGCCTCTGCATAAAGTGGTGAAATGCAACCTTTTGTATCTATGTTGTGACATCGCCCTCAAGTACTTAAGTGGTAATGTGTGTATTGTGATGCTCACTTAATCGTGTTGTCTTAATTTTTGCTGCACCTGCCTTTCAGGTGTTGGAGGAATGTTATCCTGTCAACCTCATCTCCCCCCCCCCCCTCTCAATTTTTCAGTCTTTCTTTGCAGGAAGTGATTTCTGCTCCCGGAAGTCCAGTTTTTCTGGACCTTCTTTAAAATGTGGCACCCAGAACCAGGCACAGTATTCGAGGCGTGACTAATGCACAATGGAATGGAGTGATCACTCTCTGTGCTTTGGGAATTGTGTTCAAGGTAGCCTAAAATTGAATTGGCTTTTTTCACAGCCCCTTCGCATGGCTGATTCATAGGCATTTTACAGTAAACTCCTCCACCTCCCCCCCCCTACATCCCCGCTTGCCTTTTCTACTGACTCACTGTCACTCGGCTCTTCCACCCCACCCACCCACCCAGATTTTCCATGTCTGCCTGGTCTCCCTGCTCGGCTGAAAGCAGAGCAGTCCCTGCTCAGTATTTTATAACAGAGGACAGCGTGCATGTTTTCCCCCCTCAGTTCAGGAGCATCTCTTGAATCCAGCCAGCAGAACTAGGCACAGAGCATGAAATCAGAACACCTATGGAGGATCAAAAGAATCCAGCAGCAAAAGGCAATACCAGAAGCAGCTAGGAGTTAAGTTCTGGAGCAGCAACCTAGGAGGAAAAAAAAGCACAGGAACCATTTTCAGTAAAATGTGGAGGCAAATGTTTCATGGATCCTGGCATCAAGGAGAGGTTTTGCAATCAGGTGACTTGAAGGTGCTTTGAAAGTGCAGAGGTCAAGTCAGCTGGGCTGACCACAGAAACAACCATGCCCTTTGAGCCCTTTGAGCCCAATTTCAGAGAGTTCTCATTGGGGAACCTTCCGGCACCATCAGCCTTCTGCTCAACTGGCATAGTTGTCTGTTCTTGCCTTTTAATCCCTTTGGTTCAATATGAGTAGTTGCATTTAAAATGCATTTCATAAGTGTTGATTTTGCACATCTGGCTGTTTTGGAAGAAATAAAAGAAACCCAGCAGAATGGAAATTCTGCTAGTTTATATAAATCAATGCATGTCATTTCATTTTTTTGCATATGTTGTCTGCGACAGCCTTAGAAAAAATATTTCCTTTGGGATGAGCAGGAATTTTCACATGGTGCAAAAACCACATAATATTATTCTGATTCACTTGCATGCAGCCTTCCAGAATGAGTTTCAAACCAAGTGGCCTGAATTCTGAAGAGTGACCCTTTTGGACTTGTTACATTTGCTACAGGATACAGTATAGCACCCGAGTTAATGAGGGGCTTCACAAGTGTGTTATTTTGAAAATCAGAAATCTAGATAAAAAGTCACATATGATGAGTTAAAAACGATGCTGCCCTTTGACTTACTGCTCAAAGTATTTTGCTCAGCACTGAAGGCTACCTGGAACTGACTTCTGGTTAGATGTAAATACAATGTGTACATGAATTTATATGAATGTTTCTTACTCTTTATTTGATTACTCTTTTAGTCTATGAAAAATTTGTAATAAATATAAATAAACCATGAATTTACACAAATGTTTCTCTGTGTGCGAAAGAGGAAGAATGGCACCGTGTTGCTTTTCCTTTGGGCTCCTTGCACCTCAGGCATTTCACCACAAAGGAAGTGCGACAGTCAGTGGCTCTATTTACAGTCAGTCTGCTCAACCCGGTGATGCTCCTCCTCACTAGGTGATGGAGCAGCAGATGGCCGGGCTAAGCCGGACAAGAGCTGCTCTTCCGGGGAGTGCAGAATCCTTTCCCCTTCTGTTTAGGCCCTGGGTGGCAAGCAACATGTCAGCCCCAGCTTCTCCGAAGGGCAGGCAGGTAACCAGGCAGCCGGCCAGGGCTTGGGGTGGGTGGGTGCGTGACCTGTGGCTGCCCCAAAGTTCAGCCGTAGGGGGCACCTCACCTCTGCTACTCCTCCATGGTCCCATCTTTGTGCCGTGGCTCTCCCCAAATTTGCCAAGTTTAGAGTTAGTTCGATGACAATTGTCCCGGTGCAGTTTGGATTCAACTGCCCCAGATTTGCCTAGTTGGAAAATAAGGCAACAATTTATCTTGTTAAGTGTGTTCTGTGATAACATGACCAATTTTTTATTCTGGGGTTTGATCTTGCAGTTGTGGCTGCCATCTCAACATGGATACCTCTGCACTGATTTACTCAATGCGATAAACATTGATTTATGCAATATAATACATTAACATGAAATTTTAATGTCTTCCTATTTCACATAATGTCTCACCCTCACATTTTGCTAAAAGTGGCATGAAGATGCATTTTAAACTCTCTTTAAAGAATACATTCCCAAGGCTGGATGTCATCTAGATCAGGTCATCTGGTGAGCCTTAAAATAACTTGGAGAGGGAGAAAGACCTAAACCCAGAACCAAAATCAAAGCATATGTTTCAAGGCAGGAAACCTTCACACGCACGCGCACACACACACACACACACACAAACACGTGACACACAACAGGGAGAAGGCTGAACTAAAGTCTTCTTTTGATCCCTTTGAAAGTTTGTAGCATCCTTCAAAACAAAGTAGGGAGAATATCCTTCCTTGGGGGTTTTTCCACAAGGGAAACTTCAAGGGTGTTGGACTCTGTGATCGGAAAGTCTGGAAAATCAGAATTCTGCGGTATATAGAAAGCCTTTATGAATTAATTGCTAAGGTTTTCCACTTTGCTTGCTTGCCCTAAAAAACAAAATTAAGAGCACAGAAGCAGCAGTTAAGCTCATTGCTACCCTAACATTAGAAAACCCCTGAGATGACCTTGACATGCATACTAACTTCTCTGTAAAGGACAGTTAGTGAATTGGTCACCTTAGAAGTAGAATATCATCCCTATAGTGACCTGCTGGGCATTTACTTAGTGTTTTTCCACAAGGCCAAATTTTTCTCAGGCTAAATCCTTTTTTTTTAAAGGGTGAAGTTCTTTGGATAAAATGGCTATTGAGTCCCTTTTGTTCCCCTTTTTATATGGATGCTAGTTAGTGATGTGTGTGAAGTGGGTGTTCTTTGAAACAGTACAGTCTCCTCTTGGGCTTTCTCTGATAAGCTTAATGGGACCCTTTTAGTAGCCCCCGTCCTTGGGGGAAAAAACATCTGGAAGCATCTGTAGCTGGAACTTGGTTGAATGTTTTACTTCTACTGTACAATTCAGGGGCATCCATAGTGGTTTCTCCTCCTCCAAAAAGAATAACCTTGGGATGGGGGGGATGAGCCACAGGCCGGACAATGGTCAGAGGTTATCCAAGGCACATCTTGAGGTGGTTGAGGGACCTTCCTTATCTTTTGAACACAAGGGCAATTTTACCTAACAATAAGCCAGGTAAGAGAGCCAGTTATGTGTGAGGTGGTCCCACCTGAGGCACAAAGTCAACTGGGTGACGTTGGGCCAGTCGCTCTCTGCCAGCCCTAGGAAGGAGGCAAGGGCAATTCATTTCTGGAAAGCCTTGCCAAGAAAACTTCAGGTAGCCCAATCCAGACAGTCAATAGGAGTCAACACTGACTCGCAGGCACACAAAAAAAGTTTAGCTAAGACTTTCATATCTACAGTAAGGTTTTCTTTCATTTGCTCAAAGGGTAGTATTCTTAGTTTTAGATTAGGAAGGCATTTTAATAATTTCTCATTTTGATTTATTGTTCATATTATACTTTTATCATTATTAATCATTGCATATTGAATGGATTTCATATTGTTCAGAAGATCTTAATTGATACAATATACAGCACATACATAATGTTATTTTGAAATGTTGCTTACTCTTTTCTTATAATGCTTTTGTACCTCTTTTAGTTTTTCTTCCTTTTCATTTGCCTTCTTCTGTTTATAAATAGCTATTAAAATTTAAAACTATATAAATAAAATGAATTAATATCATAAACAGAGGAAAACCTCTGAAAAAAACTCTGTTTTAACTTCATTCTGGAAGGCTCTCCCTGTGGCAGCTTCCATGAAATTGAGGCCATCCCCCCCCCCCAGAAAAAGTGGCCTTTTCCTGCTTTGTGAGCTGTATCTGTTGCCTG